AAAATTAGACAATAAGATAACAAATAACCCAATCAACAAATGGGCCAAGGACCTGAACAGACACTTCTCAGAGGAGGACATACAATCAATCAACAAATACATGAAAAAATGCTCACCATCACTAGCAGTCAGAGAAATGCAAATCAAAACCACCCTAAGATACCATCTCACTCCAGTAAGAAAGGCTTATATGTTAAAGGCTTTGTAGATGGTGAGACTATTGGGAAGTGGTAGAATCATTAGAAGGTGCCTTGTGGAAGGATGTGGGTCACTGGGGAATGTATTTGAGAATGCATATTTGCCTCTTCTCCCCCACTCCCAATGCTTTCTAGCATCTAAGAGGTGAGCAACTTTGTCTCACCATATCTTTCTGTCATGATGTAATTACTGCTTCAACACAGGCACATATAATGGGACCAAGCAACCATGATACCATAATCAAGAATAAATCCTTCTTCCTGTAAGTTCATTTTTTTTTCATGCACTGTTGTAGAAGTAGAAAGCTAACTAACAAAAATTGGTATTTTGATGTGGGCTCCTGCCTGTGACTATACTCCACAATATGGTTCAGAATCCTTTGGATCGGTTTATGAAGGAACTGGGGAATTTTGAATATGTAGACTAGAAGAGCCCTAGAATGCTATATAATAAGGGCATAATGGGCAATTATTGTATGAATTAAAAGGATCAGATCCTGATCCTTTTAATTCATAATTCTTTGCAAACAGCAAAGACTGTGCTCATGGAGTTTCAGATGGAAACGAGTACACTCTTGAGAATTGGACTGCGGAACCATTATTGTTATATTCTGGTTAAAAATTTGTCCACATGTCCATCTCCTGAGACTTCATGTGATGCTGAGTTTAAAGGTGATGGACTAATTAATCCGATAGAGAAAACTGAAGGCAGCAAAGCATCTAGGCAGTGGCATGGGTAATTCTAATTGCTGTTAGCCAGTTTTACTGTGAGACTCAAGAGCAAAGAGCAGAGCACAGAGATGTGAAAAACTGGCAGTTTGTCAGAAAAGAAGCAAGTGTAAAATAAGAGCCTAGAAGAATATGGTTGTTGAACAGATTCACTCCATTCAAAAGCAGCCAACTACTGTGGATAGAGACAATAAGAGGGATAACTCAAGAGCATCTCAGGAATTGGCCAGCCCCACCCGCCTCAGGTTCCAGGGTGTGAAAGCAGTACCCTGATCCCACAAGGTCGCCTAGGGAGTTGTTTCCTCAGCGTATACTTAAGGATTTAATGTTTGAGTCACTGAGTATCAATCTTGGTTTGGTCCCATCCCTCCTTTCCTTGCCTTCATTCCTCCCTTTTGGAATGGGAATGCTTACCCTGTGCCTCTCCCACCATATGGAGTTTTTCCTTTTTGTTTTCTTTAACAGGCTCACAGCTAATAGTTGCCTTGAGTCTAGGAGGACTTGGAACTTTTGAGATTATTGGACATGAACTTTTGTGGACCAGGAGCAGAATGTTATAGTTCAGATCCAGAAAGTCCTCTCAAAACTCATGTGTTAAATATTTGGTCCCCAGCTGGTAACACTATTGGAAGGTGGTGGAAACTTAATAGGTGTGGCCTAGCAGAAAGAAGAGGCACAGTAGGGCCTCACATCTGAAGGTGTGTTATTTCACTGGATCCTCTCTTTCTTCTTCTCTCTCTGATTCCTGGTTACCAGGAGGTGAGCATTTTTGCTCCATCACCCACTTCTGCCATGATACCCTACCTTACCACAGGCCTATAGCCTTAGGGTGCAATGACCATGGACTTAAACCTCCTAAACCATGAACCAAAATAAATACTTCATCCTCTAAATTGATTTTCTTGCTGAATTGCTTAATTTAATTGCTTAATCACAATAATGGAAACTGACTATGACACTCCATAAATATGTAAAGTTATTATACATCTATTAAAATTAAATTTATAAAAAAATCCAAGGTGAAATCTAAACTCTATAATCTTGATCCTTCACTGAAGTTTCATGGCTTTTCTTATTATGTATACTTAGGTAACTGAATTATAATTTGGATATTCCTCAGTAAGATGAAAGTGTTTTGCAACATTTACAAGTAAATATCAGATGGTTATATGGAAAACTATATAAAATTCAAATATTATCATCTCCCATTTTCCCCAGTTTATTTTTCCTTCATAATCATATGGATCTAAATATTCCCTTTTTTTAAGTCTCTTCATTCCTAATGGAACTGTCAAATAGTTTGTCTTTGTTTAGCAAAGACCTCAGGATTTACATTTTAGGAAGGGATCAGTCTAATTCTTTATTATGACATATTAATTAATGAAGCACTACATATTCAAATGATGTATTAATACTTCCTGTAGTTTACATTAAAAAAATCTGAGGCCTCCCAAATTTATTCAAATCTCCACATTAATCAATTTTTAATTATTTTTTTATATGCCTATTGATTACATACTAATGATCCCCTTAATACTGTGCAACCAATACCTAAGTTTGTAAACAACTTACAAAAGCAAACATAGCTCAATATTAGAATCAATGCATTTATTAAAGTTTGAATTTTCATAAAATTTTGAAAGAAATCCAATACTATAAATCCCATCTCTAATGCAGGCTTTAGACTTTATTTTGAGTTACTATACTAATTACAGAGTTTTTCAGATGGAGTCTATCAGCTATTTGCGAGTCCCAGACAAGGTGAGAAATCAGCAATCTGAGAACAAGAAGGCAATTCTCTTGTACATAATGAAGGTGATAAAGATTGGAAGAGGAGGCACTGATGACATTTGTCAAAAAATTAGAAACGTAATAAGATGATCAGTAGAACCCACATCCAGATGTACAGGTTGGTCTGTAGCAAGAAGACTGGCAGGGTCTGGAAGCCAAATAGGATGGATGGCACAGCCTGGATCCATAGCCCGGAGAAGAGAAGCCACTAACTCTATAATTCAGGTGTCTAAAGCCACTAGATCCACAGCATCTTGAGCCATAGCCCTGAGAGCAACAGCTACTAGACAGAGATCTAGCATAAGTTGTCTTGCAGGGACTGCAGAATGTGGAGGTCCTTGGGCGGTAGCAGGAAGGCTGGCAGGGCCTGGAAGCCAAATAGGAGGGACGGCAGAGCCCGGATCCATATCCCAGGGAAGAGAAGCCACCAACTCTGTAATTCAGGTGTCTAAAGCCACTAGATCCACAGCATCTTGAGCCATAGCCCTGAGAGCAACAGCTACTAGACACAGATCTCACAGATCTAGCATAAGTTGTCTTGCAGGGACTGCAGAATGTGGAGGTCCCTGGGCGGTAGCAGGAAGGCTGGCAGGGCCTGGACACCACACAGGACGTCTGACATCTGGTGGGCCTGTGGAAGGTCTTCTGACAACCCCTGTAGTGACAGGAGCCCAGCTGGCAGGTGCTGGGAGAGCAGAGGTTCTGGCTGTAGATCAGGTTTCTGTTGTAGGAGGAGCCACAGGAGAAGCCTGAGTAGGGCAGGTAGCCCCCAAAGGAGCGGGAGGAGAAGCTTCCAGAGCAGCAGTTGTAGGGCATGTTGAGTGTGGGTGTGAGTTCAGCTGAGTGTAACCGAGAAGATTCTGAATGTGAATATCACTCCTGAACTGGAATATTTATATACTCTTGATGATGGGTGTGGGACCTTACAGTGTCATCTTTTCCATATTTGGAATCCCCCATTTGAATACATGTAACTCAGTAATCTTCTCCATAACTGCAGTTAACGAAATCCCTTCATCTTACTTTATGAGTGAACTCCTTTTGGTTTTATGGCTCTGAGTCAATGAAGGACATTTGTATAACAAATGCTATGACTTGTGTTTAATTAATGCCTACTTTATCATGGCCAGGAAAGCCCCTCTGATTTTCTCTGACCCTGACTTATACAACTCCTCCTATTTTGGTGGGAGAATTCTTTCTTCCCAGGGTGGAGACTGTAGTTATTAGCAATTATTAATGTAATTACCATGTAAGTAAGTAATTATCAGTGTTTACTATGTTCAGTCCACCGGAGCCATATACAATTAAGTCAAAGGAATCGAGAGATGATGATGAGTGAATGAGTGTTTTATGAACAAGAAAACATTTAGTGCTTTGAGAAATACAATCAAGATAAAAACAAGAAGAGACCATAATCAACCCATAAGAGGAAAAGTTGTCCCAGACACAACTGAGATTGATTGGAAAAGTGACAGTGGCAGCAAAGAGGAGCAGGGCTGTTAGGATTTTCTTCTACTTCCGTCATGATTCAATCACATCAATATTGTTTAAAAGTAAACTTAAATTCAAGCTTTCCTATAATACACTTTAATTGTGAATTCTACTGGGACCATCCCCCCAGCCTACCTCCCATATCTCTAAACTTCGTTTTAAAATTTGGAATGCCTTTGGAGCATTTCCATGGTCAGGCCTACTTCGAATTTGTTTTTTCTTCCTACTTGTGGTACATGATTCTGTCCCAACTTATTAGAAGAGGTGGACCAGAGTTTTCAGGTCCTGGAGAGTATAATTCTGGGTATTCTCATTAAGAAAAGAATATAACATTGTGCTTATTACATTAGTTATATAAAAATAATATTGTTATATAACAGCAGTTATACAAGAATCATATGAATACAAGTCACAGCAATACCATCATCCTTATCATCATCTACAATGTTTTCCCTAAATCTCACAGCTGCATAGTCTTTGATAGCCTTTGTACATGACCATGATTTTGTCAGCATTGTCTTCTGGAGAAAGAGTAGAAATGTAACTTAATTGTTCCTATGGAAATTCTATATCAAAAATTATCTAAATTATTTTTGATGACACAGAAAAGCTTTCAACATTCCATTTGTTATATGGAATGTCACATCTGTAACATCCTCTGTCATTTATGCTCAGTCAGTGCTTCAAGCCTAACATGATAGACATCTCAGCCATGTGTCACTCATTTACCTTCCCACCCAATCCTGAAACCATGAGGCTGTTTGTGTGAGAATCTGCAGTAAATGCCTGTAGCCATGGATTGTAGGGGTCTCTGAAAATCATCCTTGTCCAACCCAGCAAAATTAGAACCAGAAGCTGGTTCGTGCTTGCCTGTCTGAGATAAATACCATTTCAGAGACTTTCTACACTCCCCATGAAAGATTCTTTCTCCTTCTAGAAGCAACTTGTGCTTGGCATGCCTCCCACATGCATATATGCACAGATTTCTGTAACCAAATTTATACTCAACACTTTTTAAGACTGCAACAATTCAGCCAGGGTGCTTTGTAGAGAGCAACTGCCCAGCAATAGCATCTCCACCTATGAGCTGACATCAACTCCTGCCTTCTCGAGTCTCCAAAATGAATAAACTTTGCATTCAAGTAACTTATGTAAATTTTCCCATTTTTGCTTTAGGAACTTCCCCTGGCCTCATCTTCTTTGAATATGCACATAGTCTACTTCTCTGCTATTACTAAATAAATAGCATTCATTATACATTGTAGAATCTCTCTGTGTCATTTAGGTTGACAGGGCCTCCTGGCAGATAGAAGAACGGTGTCTTGTACAATATTTCTAGATCAAAGCTTCCTAAAATTCAGTTTGACAGTGGGGGCTGGAGGTGTTTAATAGTAGTGCAGGCAGTGTCTGGTTCCACAGCAACCCTAAGACTACCACCAGCGATTCTCAGGCTAAAGTAGTGTAGCTGCTAGAATGACAAGTTCCTCCCAGGCTCCCTGGAAGAGTGCCAATAGTGCTTTGGAACTAGCAAGAGAAGGGCCCCTGGGTTTAAGATTCATTAAGTTGCATCTGTCTCTGTGTCTATCCAAGGCACCCAGCCCAGGACATCTAAACATGTGCTCAGATGATCTCTCTACACTATCAGGGACCTATATAGGGTCCCCAGGTCTCCCAGGATACATTTCATCTTTCTCCAAAAATCCACCTTCAGTTTTAATGATTGTCTTGCTGTATATTTGGCTATTCTTTTCGTTATTTGTCTTTGAGTCCCTCTAATTCCAAATAAAAATGCAAAACAAAATACAAAAGCATCTGATAGATTTAAAATGATTTTTTAATATAACTCTAGGTTTCTTGACAATTCAAAACAAATGCACTGATGTGATAGATCAAAGGTCAAATATGCAGAGATAAGGGTCAGGGCTGAAGTCATTTAATTTCAAATCCATTCAAATAAAAATACTATAAAATTATGTGATAGATGCTGAACTCATCAATGTTTCTTTATGTTTGATTGGAAATTTTTAAAGAAGCATCACTACACAGGATTTGAATAAGTCAAAGGAATGGAAAATTTCCTGCACACAGCCCACAGTGACTTTGGAAAAGTCTAAATTTCTTCCTGTGGACTCCTGATTACTGAGGTAAAAGTCCTAGCCCATGCAATATTGTGAAGACCACTCTTTTCTCAAATCCCCATTTTCTAAAAAACTTTTTAGAATAGCTATCCTACCATAACTAGGAAAAGGAAACTTTTTTGTTTCGTGGGAGCAAGCCCAGCATTAGTCAAATAACAAAGTCTGCAAACATATCTGCCATGGTACAACATTCTGGCCACCTTCCCAGGTGAACATGGTGCCCTCTTCTTCCCTGTACATATCCAACCCTCTTCTCTTTGATGTGGGGGGTGTGTAATAATAGACCACAAGCTCTCCGGTCCTCTAGCAAATCCAGCCCACTCAGTCTTGTTCATTTCATAGGTAGGTCCCATGGGTTTTATATTAGACTCCAAATTAGTTGTCAGCATTTAAAAATCAAAAGATTTCACATAAAATATGGAATTCTGATTTCTTAAAGAAAAAAATCTGAACATCTGGTGAAAGAGGGCTCTCTTTCTGAAATGGGAACAAATTGCTCTGTTCACTTGGAATATTTACTTCCTAATTCTCAATAGCCCTAGACCTCTTTCCTCCAGCTCACAAGCCAGACTTCAGTCTCCATTGTTGGCCTTTCCTGCAGTTACTTTGTTGTGTTTGTTAATATCTCTATCACTAATGCAAGACTTAGAAGTGGATTAAGAAGTTTTGGGTTTAAATAAAGCTTGTAGGAAAAATATAGAGTAGGAAAAATAAACTATGTTTTTATGCATTAAAAGCATACTCTTTCATGTTTAATGGGAAAGTATCATGTATTTGTGCTGATGAAATAAAATATAAAGCATCATGCATGAAGCAAATCACAGGTCAATCTCACTTAAATTTATGGTCTGCCCAGACTATGTAGTGCCTTGAAGTTAGATCCTCTGACTTTAAATGCTTCACAAGCTAGAACAATTTGAGTTGGAGTTATATGCTAGACAAAGTCTTGAATCAGTGGTGTTCTTTCAACTAAATATTGCAAAATTAACAGTGGGTCACTTTAGGATTTGCAAATAAATAAGAAATAAGCAATGTTTTATAAGTCAGATGATTCAGTTCCTCCTAAGCTTGCTCTACCTGTGATTCTGATGTACCACCATGGTTGGAAATCAGTCCATTGAATTAAAGTGTTAGCATCCAGCCTGAAACCCAAGAGATCATCACAGTCCTGTGAAATAGATCTACCAGCCTGACCACTATATCCACTTCTGCACAGGACTTGTCTGTCCAAGCAAATCAAGTAAGAAATTTAAAACAGAGAAAAGGTAATCTATTTTCTGTTAGTAATATTATAATTTTGTTGTCATGGGCAGTTGTCCAAAACAATGTACCACTCACTCCCTCTTTCATGCAAGTGTGCAGATATAATAACTCTTATGGGCAATATTGTTTAATAATGTGGAAGATGAATTTGGTGGCATTAATATCTGTCCTGCAAGACTCAGCATCTTAAAAGTTTGGATGAAGACTATGTGTCACTATCCAACATGATGCCTCATGATGCCTAGTTATAACTCCTTTTATCATAAATACCAGAGGGAAGAGTAGCAATTTTGGCAGACTGTGACAGCTGGTTTGGGAGGCAGAATAAAAAGACCTTTTGAGTTAGAAGTCAAATAAATGGTATGCCGAATCCATGACTGGCACAAAAAACATCCCTGGTATACAGTAGGCATTTTGCACACACATGCTGATGCAATGAAAAATGAACTTGAATATGTAGAGGTTTTAAAGGAACAAAGCAAGTGGGAAGGTTCTGTAAATATTAAATACAGTTCATTTGTTTATTATTTCTTTGGGAAGTTGAGTAAAGGTTGGCTGCATGCAGTACGTAGATTTGTAAGTTACTCTGTTCAGAAGCAGAAACACTCAAAGATGTGTCAGGCAAGATCCATGTCTGTATCCATCTAGATGAGAGGACATGCTTAGGAAGAAGTAGTAACAAAGGAGAAAGAGAACATGCTAGAAATATGGGTAAGAGCCTCTCCTTCACCCCTTTGAAGACATGTGCTCTCTTCCTGATCCTTGGACACCACCACATCCTGCTTCATTTACTTCTTTTTATTAATTTCTCCTAAATGTTTAAAATTTAATTGATTTATTGGTATTTTATGTGATTTTTAGATTAGAAATCATTTAAAAGTTTTTTGGCACCATTTCAAAATTTTAAATCCCACCATTATAATACCTTTGTAATGGAATGTGACCCAAAGTCAGAGCATTCCAATGTGACTTGCA